CTATGGCCTTGTCATTTAGAGTAGTTCTCTTCCTAATCCTATTCCAGCACCCTGTTGATTCCTTAATAGCCTTTATATTACAACTGTAATTATTTTGTTTATTTGCTTACTTTTTGCTTGTCTATTGTTTCTAGATTATAAATTTACAAGGTCAGGGACCATATTATATTGCTCACAATATATCTAGTACCTGACACCGAGTAGATGCCCAATAAACAGATGATCAAATGAATGGAAAGCTACCTTTAGATTATACCAGTGTGTCATAGCTTTACCTAGACCAGTAGTTCTCAGATTTTAATGTGCATCGGAATCCCCTGAAGGGCTTGTTAAAATGCAGACTGCTGAATGCAGAGTTTCTGATTCAGTAGGTCTGGGGTGGAATCTGAAAATTTGCAATTCTAAGTTTCCAGGTGTTGCTGATGCTCCTGGTCCAGGAACTGCACTTTGAGAACAGACCTATAATAAAAGATATAGCTTAATAATAATCGATCTCAAAAGATTATGCTGAAAGGCTGATGCTATCTCTGAGGAGATAGTCAAGCCATCCAATTTCCCTAAGCCTTTGGCACTTGTGGTGTGGTTTTTAGCATTCACCTAACAATTGTGAGTATGGAGTTCATACATGTGTAATTATTGTTCATTTTATTATTCAAATTATATATATATATATATAGCCTTGAGGAAAGGAAAGGGAAGAAGAGCTGTCCCTGCATCAGATCTCCTTATGGATTGCAGTCACGCCAGGCCCCTTTTAAGTCTCATATCATGTCCCTCACTCATTGCCCTCTCACGACATTTTGCAAGCATCAAGGCTGGCTCTTGAGATCATTCACTCTGTGTTTGACTTGCCTGGTTTGGTTTCCTTCACAATAGCTCAGAGCCCAACAGAACTTCTCTTTCCTTTCCTGTTCTCATTTTTTTTTAGCATGCAAACCCTTACCTTCTTGCTCAGATTGTGTTCTCTTTTCTTTCCACTTTGCAATGATGAAGCATCCCAGGAAAATGGAGGAGACTGAATAATTGCTGCATAAGCTTTCCAGTGCATGGAAAAACATCAAAGTCATTATTGTAAAGTGCATTGTGAATTTTAAGAAGGGCTATATGATATCTCATGCTCCCTTTAATTATCTCCAGCAAATAGTAACATGGGTAATGAGAATTGGAATTTTGGCCACAGGCAAGATATGAATGTAAAATTGGCATTTTCATTTAAATATTGATTAATAAAAAGGTATTTTAAGGGGAAATTAAGCATTTATTCAATGTAAAAAAATCAGCAGGCAATTTTTAAGATGTGTATTTTAATAGATGCTGAATTACAGTTTGATTTAAACCTGACAGAAACATTTCTCTGCATAAAGATAATTCAAATAAATTCAACAAAATGCGTTATTTTTTCTACAAAAAACACAAGCACAATAAAGATAACATTATTTTTATTTATAAAGACAAATTATTATTATTATGTTTTAAATTTCCATTGTAGTATTTTTTTCGTGAAAGTCTCTCTCCACGTAAAGATCTGATGAAGTTGTGATGAAAATTGGTTAAATTACACATGACAGAGTTGGAAAATTATGAAAATTTGAATAAGAAATATTTTATGATTTCAATTCATTTCTCCAATGTGTATTTTATTTTGTCTAAGTCCTAGCATTTATTCTTATATAATTTCCTAAGCTGTTATCTGATTAGCTTTGAAGAAAATAATGCGTTTATAGATTGAGATACCTGATTTTTAGGATTTCAGATACATAGTATCAGTTTGAGGAAATAAAAGAAACATATCTTTGGCATTTATTTAATATTTATGATCTTTTTGGAAACATTTCATTGCTTTGGAGCAGCCAGTGATATGAAAGAAAGTGTGAAGTGGAAGTCGTAAGGTCTGCCATATTATTACAGGTTTATTTGAGCTAATTACAGCATAAATGCCACATTGGCTTTCAGCAATTCATTTGCTGGACAGTTCTTCAAGCAGCCAGGAGAGAGCTACTAGAGACAGTTCCAGTAGTGCTGAGACTCTTTAATTAAACGCTGGCTGATGTTCCAGAACCTTTCTTCAGAGCCTGAGGGAATAGCAATATTTATTTACAAGGCACCTCTTATCCTAAGGTTTTCAGGTCTCCTCACTACAAACAGTATACCAGCCTGTCCTAGAAAGGAAAACCGAGCATTCTGTTTGAATTTATAGCAAGTGCGTATACTTTTGTGCAAATGTAAATTTCATTGATTAAAATAGTCCAGATTCCAGTTTGTCTTTGATACCCATAAAAATAATCTTATCTAGGGGCCAGCCCCATGGCCTATTGGTTGAGTTTGGCGCACTCCGCTTTGGAGTTCTGTTCCTGGGCACTGAGCTACACCACTCATCAGCAGCCACGCTGTGGCGGTGACCCACATCCAAAATAAAGGAAGACTGACACAGATGTTATCTCAGGGCGGATCTTCCTCAAGCAAAAAGAGGAAGGTTGGCAACAGATTTTAGCTCAGGGCAAGTCTTCCTCAGCCAAAAAAATGATCCTATCTATAAAGAGGTAATGAGGAAAAAAATAGGACCCTTTCTTTTTCTGACTAGCCCTCACCCAAACTCCCTTCCTGTGACTGCATAATTACAAATCTGATTTGATAAACTAGAAATGCCCTTGAAAGAATTTAATATTTACCCTAGTTTTTAATCCCAGGAAGGATTCTACTCTGAATATTTAACTATTTGTATGTAATTGTTTTCTCTGTCTCTCACCCAACCCCCCAAATTTGTTCCAGGAATATTTAAGCTGGCTTTTAAAAGGACATATAATAATGAATGAATACATTTAAAACCAGGCTAAAAAAATGAGGCAAAGAAAAATAAAGATACAAAATAACATAGAACCAGGTGTTAAGATACCAAATAAAATATATGCCCTGTAACCTCACACACAACTTCATCAAAGAGTATATGTGCATATATGGCAAATAAGCAAATGAAAAGATATTAGACATCATTAGCCATTAGGGAAATGAAAAATTAAGACCACGATGCGATGCCATTTCTCACCTATTAGAAGGGCTAAAATAGCCAACATCAGGTACTTGTGAGAATGTAGAGCAATTGGCACTTTCATATGTTGCTGGTGTGTATGCAAAATGTCACTGAAAACAGTTTAGCAGTTTCTTACATAGTTAAACATACACTTACCTTGTGACCTATCAATTTTCCTCCTGGGTGTTTACCCTAAGGAAATGAAGTTATAATCACACAAAAACTTGTACATGACTGTTTATAGCAGCTCTATTCACAATTGCCAAAATCTGGAAAAAATCCAAATGTCCTTCAACGAATGAATAGGTAAACTGTGGTATATCCGTACAATGGAATACTACTCAGAAATAAAAAAGGAATGGACTATTGTTGCATGCAAAATCATGCATGTATCTCAAAGGTGTGATGCTGACTGAAAGAAACCAGTCTTAAAAGGTTATATAATGGATGGTTCCATTTATAAAACTTTCCAGAAGAAAACAAAATCATAATGATGGAGAATAGATTAGTGGCTGCTAGAGGTTGGGGTGGAAGAAGGGTATGATTGCAAAGAGGGGTAGCATGAGGGAGTTTTCTGGATGATGGAACTGTCCTGTATCTTGATTATAGTGATACTTACACAAATAAACACTTTAAAATGCATAGAAATATATACCAAAATGTCAATTTTATTGCATGATAATTTAATAAATAAAATAATTTTTAAAACACCCACACATTTAGAAGGATTAAGCCACAATTTTGCCTCTGAGTTCTCCATAGGACAAAGAATATAATCATGCATATAGATAAAATCAAGCTAGCTACTCAGGGTCACATCTATTCCTAATAGAAGAATATAATACATATGTCTGATGTAATAAAAATGTCTTTTTTAATAACCTGCAGTATACCCCAGCAATAAATCATAATTTTACTTCCTGCATGTCTGACCGTCCCTTTTTCGTCTTCGTCACACCTGTTTCCTTTATTTGCTTTTAAAGTATAGGTATTCTCCACATTGTATCTTCACTCTTAATTTCTTGCAGCTCAGCATCCTCTGCAGGGAAATCTCTTTCAATCCAGTGGCTTGACCTAAAATCTCGTTGAAGATGACTTCCAAATCTATACCTGCAATGCTAATATCTTTTTATCCCTATTTACAGTTTTGTGTGTAATATCTTCTTTTGAATATACCACTAGTCCAAAAAATCGCCATACCCAAAATAATTTAATTAGTAGTTCTTTTCCTGAAATGTAAGGATCTTCTGAAATCACTGACCTCTTGGTCACTAAAACTAGAAATATTATCTTTTTTCATCGCCTTCTTATACTCACTCTCCCTCATAAAATTGGTCGCTAAATCTAGCTGATTCTTTCAATTTTGCATTTTTTCCATCACAAAAACTAAACTAAAGCCTTGACTATGGGTAGTTTGGAATATTACAATAGCCTTCTGTATGTTTTCTCTGACTCCCATCTGTTATATCTATATTTCATTTTTATACTCTTGTTAGCATTACTTTATAAAATCTGATTAGTTCCTCCCATCTTGACCAGAAATCTTTTATTCTCACACAAAAGAAAATCCAAATTTTATATGGTATTCTTAACCTTCAATAATTTGAACCTAACATCATCCAGCACTGCAAATACATCAAGATCACTGTCTACTTACAAGCAGTCTACCTACTGTAGCCACATCATATGTTTTGCTATTCCTTGAAACCATCATATGTCTGGTCAACCACTTTGCTTTATATGGGCAGTGCCCAGTATGTGTATGTCTCCTCTGCCTGTTAGAATTCTATGCATCCTCCATCTCTCTACTCTTACACCATCTCTTTCGTGAAGACTTCCTCAATCCAGCAATTTGGAATTCATCTTAGCCTACTTTGAGCTGTCATAGCATGATTCATTTCTTTATTTTGCTTTGTTTTATTATGCATGCATATCTCCCCTTACTGAGATTATAACCTATTTATTTTTTTTTCACACTGAGCATGACTTTATTTCAAAATTAGCACACAATACTGTATAAACATTGATATGTCAATTTCTAAAATGCTGCATCTTAAATTCAATTGGCAAAGACCACATTTAGCTATAAGCATGAGTTTAGTCTTCCATGTAGAAACGAGATACTAAACTGTAAAAAAACAAAAAATAGGTTCCTATTGTTTGAAAATACCAGTTTAAGTAGAAGATTGTAAAAATGCATAGATCTTTCATAAAAGAATTGACTGTACAAGAGTACTCCCCTTTCACAGTATTCCTTTTTACTTCATATGCGAGTTATCAGTTATGCTGTAGGATTTAACTGTTACAGCACTAAAAGGCAACTATTTAGGGAAGAGGCAGAAAAAGGAAAAAGGAATGTATGTAAGGCAATATTTCTTTTAGGTACAATAAGCATAATAGTGTTTTAGGAAGACAAGATAAAAATTACTCAAGGCTAGCTTGGTTCTCACTGAATAAAAACAATGGCTAAATACGGAGCTGCTCTGTGGGACTCTAATAATCAATGCCTTGGTCGCCATATTGGTAATCTCGGGGGTAGTCATCTTGGTACTCGCCGTGATACTCATCTGAGTATTCTGCCTGATAATCGCTATCACTGATTTCTGACCCATTTGTTCCTGTTCCTTGGCTTCCATTGTGAATGACAGGTTCTGTGGGAGCAGCACAGTATTTGGGATCATATACTTGCCGCCCCAGCCCATACACACTCATTCCTTTCTGGGAAGCGACTTTGTTTGTACCCATCTGTAGAGAAATTGTCGAGTTGTCCACTGGTTGTAATGTTAGCTTCTGATCGTAAATGTCTCTCCTGCTACCCGGTGCTAACATCCCCGCCTGGCTGGCTCCTTTGTTGGTGCCCATCTGCAGACTAATCGTCGTCTGGTCAAAAGGTTTGTCAGTTTGCATTTTGGGATCATAAAGATGCCTCCTAGTCCCATAGGCTGTCATACCTGCTTGGCTGGCGCATTTGTTGGTTCCCATCTGCAAACCAATTACACTTTGGCCAGCTTTTAATTTTCCTTCATCAAAACGTCTTGTTTGTTTTTCTGCATACTTAACTCCAACGTCAATGGTTGTATGGAATCCTTTTGTTTTAGCCAGACCTGCTAGAGCCACCAGTGTAGTCTGGACCTGGGTCATGTTTCCATTCTCAAAAAGATCATTTGCTTCAAATATGTCATGTGGCTTCATACCATAAGCCTGAATAGCTTTAATAAAGTTGCCAATATTCTCCAACT